GTTCTATAGAGTCAGATGAATAGAAGTGATGGATGACTATGATTTACTTTAAATAAACTCTGAGTACATCAGCATGTTTGTGTTGGACCTGAAACTACAAACTGCTTTTTATTCTTCTCTTCTCTCCACTCAGTGAATTATAAAACACACCACACACACACACACGCGCGCTGCCCGTTCAGCAGCATGAGCCACACTCAGTCCATTTGTAAGCGCTCCAGCTCATTAAAAAACACTTTAACTCGTTATAATGGCTCTTTTACCAGCTCGATGATCAACTAACACACACACACACACACACACACAACACACCACACACACACACACACACACACACACACACACACACACACACACACACACACACACACACACACACACACACACACACACACACACACACACACACACACACACACACACACACACACACACACACACACACACACACACACACACACACTTAGTGTTGATGGAGCTCATCAGAAACAGTTCCATCACACTCCCTGTCTCTCTGACACACACTGTGATTAGGAAACATCTCTCTGCAGAGGAGAGCTCAACGTGACACACACACAAACACACACACACTCATGCACACACACACACACAGACACACACACACACACACACACACATACACACACACTAACACACTAACCCACACAGACTTTATAAAAGATGGACGCCATGAGAGATCCACAAAAGTGAAGCTAAGACCTTTAGAGCTCCCCCTGCTGACTGCCTGCAGTATAGGTCATAAGCTCCGCCTCCTCCATGTTAACAGATGGGACATGATAAATGTCAGACCTGGTTTCCATCATTACAGTTCTCATCACGCTGAGTGATGTCTAAGTGATCTTTTAGTTTGATGATAGGAACGCCTGGGAGTCTCTGAGGAGGAGCTGGAACACGATGCTGTGGAGAGGGAAGTCTAGGTCGACTTTCTGCGTCTGCTGCTACGGCCATCTGACCTCAGATAAGCGCAGATAAGCGCAGATGCATGGATGGACTTCAGCTCTATGAACACGGCTCGTTTTGTCCCCGAGTTACAGTGAGTTTAAAAACTCGTTTGAAACAACGACACGGTGACGTCACAGGAAGTTCTCCATCTTGATTTAAAGGTGGACTCAGTTTGGACTCAATTTTGGGGGATTAGTGAAACAGAGGATTATAAATGTTGAACAGAAACGAGTCGGGCTGCGGAGGAAATCCCTTCAGAAGTTTCTAAAGAGGTCGTGTCTGATTTGAAACGGTGCAAACATTAAATTAAATGTCAGGCGGTCGGCGATAAGACGCTCAACGCTCGAGCTGTGAAGAATCCGCTAAATGTCAGAGTCTGGCTTTAGAGTCATTAAACACAGATTGTTGTTGTGTTGAAGACTCTTTCCACCCCCCCTCACCCCCCCTCGAGCATCACAAACTCCCCAAGCGTGAGCAGAGGAGCAGATCAGAGTCCAGCAGAGGTCACACAGAGATACTCTCAGATCAGGCGGAGCATTAGAGAACATGCAGAGAAGACTGTTCTCCCTCAAAGTCTTCAACAAAAGACTTCCGTCAGAGAGCAACAAAGACATCCTCAACTTCCCGAGAAGTGAACTTTAAGGACATAACATTTTTATCTAATGGATCACTAATAGGCGCCGCTCTCCGCCGATCAGCAGCAGAACAATCAGGGATGTAAAAGGTCGCAGACAGACGGCGCTCCATTTACATCCTGAGACAATGTCAACCATCATCTCAGAGCAAACTACCCTGTAATGGCACGCCGCAGCATAACGGCCAATTTATGTCCATTCAGAGCCAAACTAAACCCACCGGGGACCTCCTCTGCACGCCATTAAATTACCAATTTGCAGGAAAAACGTCGTTAAGGGAACAGTTCCTCGCCAAAACGATGTCATTACAGTAACAGCAGCCACTCTAGCGCAGCGCGGCGGGAAAGCTACGGCGCACACCGGCTGAAACATCACTCACTTTTTGTGTTTGGAGCTCCTTCACGCCCGACTGCCCGACAACCGCCACCTTAATGCAGCGGACGCCATTATGTAGGAAGTGCCTGCTGTCAGTCCTACTGTATAATGGAGGCAGAAACACTCACGCTGCAGATCACAATCAAAGCGTGAAGAATGGGGCCGATTGTAGCGCTCGCTACCTGACGCCGCCGCTGAGTTACAGAGACATTAACTCCCCGCAGGCGTCGATAAAATGTGAAACTTAAACGACTCGGTTAATCACCACAGAATTAGAGGCGAGTCGAGAGATGAATCTGTGGAAGTGTGTTAATGAACAAGTCGTTGTCTTTTGGGGAAAGTTCCGGCTGCTTTCCATCTGCCGAGCGGTCAGTCAGGCCAATCACGGCACAGCGAGGAGCTCTTCTGTCTGCATGCTTTGTTTTCACGGCGTGTCACACTGCACGCTTCCTGCTGCTGCTGGATCCCTGATTAAGGAGCCAATCAGAGGTGGAGGTGAAGCTGCAGCAGCAACATATAAATAAAAAGCTGAGCTCCATCTGTGAAGGTTAATGTGAGCGTCCTCCGGCTGCTGTGAGAGCGCCGACGTGCAGCTCCTGATGAGAATATTACTGTGAGATAATTACACATAAAAAAACATTAAAGGGGCAGTCAGTGCGTTTTTGACTGGCTGTGTCTCCAGATGTTTCCATGAAGGTGACTGGTTAGATGTTGCTGGAAACTCTTCACTGCTCTGGAAAACTTTCTGTTCATTAGTGGATCTAAAACTTTCCACAGAGTACCACCACAGAAAATATTAGTGCCACCAGCTTAGGCTATTTCACTACCGCAAAAAAATCCTCCTCAATGCAAATCTTTCATATAAACTGTTCTGTAAAGCTTAAAGTCTTTATTTGTGATTTTTCACACTTAAATATAAATCAAGTATATCCTCTGAAAATAACTCTGTGAGTCATGACTGTCTACAATGGGTGTAACACCCGAGTCCCACTGTCTGTGATGTTTTCAGAGTTTTCAGAGTCCTATCTTCACTTTGTTTACATCGCCGGGACGGCCGGCTGACTCCTCCCCTCGTGTATAAAAGTTGTTTAATTGAGGGACTAGAGAAAAGAAGAATAACATACTGTACTCACTGCTTAACTGTGTTTCTAGATCACGCTCATTTCAGGTAAATTTACATGCAGTGTGAAGATACCAGCATAATAAAGATCGCTAGCATTAGCATGCTAACACAACAATGCAGCACGAGTCGTTTTGGTTTCATGCTGGTGCTCAAGGGCGACATCTGCTGGATCAAAACATCACATATAAAGACTTTAAACTGCAAACACATTCACCTCCAAGCTGAAAACGTCCAACTGTCCTCTGCTGGTCGTTTTTATAACTTTGAATCCTTCAAATCAAACCAAATATCTCCCCGCATGTTGAGCTGGAGAGCATGCTAACGCTAACTTCTGTTGCAGAGAATTTTAATATTTATTTTTGAAGACCTGTATTGGAGGGACGTGTGAGCGGGGAATGACATAAGAGGAAGTAGCCACAGGTGGGATTTGAACCCTGCTGTGCCTTGAGGACTTTAGCCTCTGTCATTAATTTGAGCTTCCATCCTGAGTGGAGCACATCCACTCATTGGATATTCCTCTCAGCTGCACTCTGCTCTTTTCTGTCAGAGACTCATTTAGATGCCAGGTAAACTCGATTAACTTACATGGCGGAATACAAACGAGCCGCTTCTCGGGGCTCCGAGGACTCTGAGATCTCCTGCATGTCAAAAAAAATAAAAAGCTGCCGTTCTCTAAAGGCATCGCGACGCCTCCATCCGGCTACACGTTCCCTGAGGGGAAGAGTCAAACGTGATGACGTGGAGCGTCCAAAGATTCCACCTCACACACTCTGAGACGTCTGATCCTGATCATGATCATTTTTAATAATAATAAATGTTGTTTAAATGTTTAAATTAATGTTTTTAATATAATTTAATTTATTATTTCCTTGTTAATTGTTTAGCACCAACACACCAAGTCAAATTCCTTGTTTGTGTAAATGTACTTGGCAATAAACCCAGATTCTGATTCTGATTTTGAAAAGTGTGGTGAAAAAGAACAACTCTCAGAAATCCTCTGGAATCATCTTTTCCCACTTTTCGCACTGACCCTGAACAGCTCACTCCCCCCTCCTCTTCTCTCCTCCTGCTGACGTGGATCAGCCTCTCGACTTCACTTCAAGAGTTCTTAAAAAAGACGATTTCAGTTGACGTCGATTATTCCACGTCTCAGGAAACCTGCTGTATCTGTGATCGCAGCCGAGCAGCTTACGGCGCTCTAATGAGATTCACCACACGGGTCTGCTGCGGCCCCGTGAATGACAAACCCCCTCCGCTGGTTTACAGGCGCCCCGCTCCCGACAGGCAAGGAGGCGGCCGTGAATGCTGAGCAGTGCAGACCGGGGCGAGGCGAGGCGGCGCTTTGATCTGCTGAATCATAATCTGGTGGAGGGTAATGATGTCAAACCGAGCGCCAAAAAACGAGTCAATCGAGCGCTAATAATCTCATTTCTTCCCGTAGTTCTTCAGTCTCTCTCTGGACCAAGAAGCGTCCTCTTCATGAGAATGGATTTGTCTTATCTCGATCGGCACACGCTGAATGTTTTCATGACTCATCCACCCCTCAGTTTGTCAGATATGAGAGCAGTTATCAGGTCAACAGGTGTTGCAGCGATGGAAGCGGTCAAGAGAAGTGGTTCAGATAGAAGTGATTGTACCCGACCTAAAAAGCCTCTGCATGTTTCTAATAAGCTCCACGAGCAGAAACGTGCTCAAACTAGGATCAATATTGGAGATGCTTTTGAAAAATGGAGAGAGGTTAGAACACAGAAAGGTTTACAGACCCATGCAGAGCTGGATAAACACTGAAGCTTCAGAGTCCACCACATGGGGACCTGAGTGAGCATCCACTCTAGGGGGGGGGGGAGACAGCTCTCTATGATGTTTAGAATTCAGACTGCAGTACCCATTTCAAACACCAGGGGTCAGACTTACATTCTTTCTTTTCTGTAATGTTTGTTTAGTAAAGGTTCATCTCATCATGTAATACCTCACCTGTCCATTGGAGGCACTGTGGAGTCATCCTGCTTAAAGTGTCAACAGCACTCTCTCTCTTTGTGTTTATTTCCCATGAGCCTCTGCTGCTGTAATCAACCTATAAATAACATCAACAACAGAACGGAGATTCTTACCGTATGCTGAGTCGGCTGCAGACTCCTGGTTCCTCGTGGTCGCCAACACATCAGCTGCACGGACAAAACAACAACACTGCTGTGGTTACACACTGTTTACTATCTCTGTTGTTATTGTTGAGGTGGTGTTGTTGTTTATCTCACCGTGGCAGCTGTCCACGATAAGCGAGTGGTCGCCCTCCACGTCCTGTTCAAACGCCGCCCTGCAGAGACAAAGCACGCTTTAGACAAACAGTGATTGATTGAAGGACAGATCCAGACTTAGAGCCACCACTGTTGCTACGGGTAACCGTTGTCTGGGCAAGTTAATCGATGATGACGAGGCGTATCCACGGTGACCGGATAACCCGTTAGGACGGCGTTAATTAGATGATGTCACAACGTTTATCCGCAGTTCATCAGGAAGTGTGAAGACGAATTCCCCTTCATCGGAGACCATCACACACACACACACACACACACACACACACACACACACACACACACACACACCACACACCACACACACACACACACACACACACACACACACCACACAACACACACACAACACACACACACACACACACACACACAACACACACACACACACAACACACACACACAGAAGGTTTTTTGTGTCAGAAGTCTGTGGATGTTAACGATGGCGCCGTCAGGAGATCGCACAACCTGCACGCGGGCGCCATGTGTCAGAACGTCTCCTCCATGGCGGGCGGGCTGTGACGTCCACGTCGGACTTTCAGTCTCTGTAAACATGTTTCTCCTCTGAACGCGTCTTTAAGCAGAGGAGAGGCCGTCTGAAAGTTGGGACTGATTATGAAACCGTCGTGCCTCCCTCTCTATATTTACCTCTCTCTCCACCTCACTTACTTCTAACTCGCCCGCCCCCTCACTCACTCAATATTTATCTCCCTCTTCGCTCACTCGCTCGCTCCATCACCACCCGTCCTCCGTCTCTCCAGCTACATTTGCAGCAGCGTGGGCCGAGCTGTAAATGAGGAGAGAGAGGACGAGAACGGGGAAAGGAGGTCGTTTGTGATGGCGAGCGGTTATAAATCCCCCAGCCCTCTTGAGCACCTAAACGCCTCGTTCATCTCTCGGGGGAGGGGGATGGAAATAGACTCTGTCGGTTATAAAAATGCAGCCGGCTTAGCAGACACTGTGCTCGCTCAATGTGTTTTCGTTTTGTCAGAGAGAGGAGGAGGAGGCGTAAACGGGCTCCAGAGTCTTTCAGGACGTGAATGTAGATGAGCATTCACTCCCATGATGCATTTCTGCTGATGACTTATTTGTTTTAATAACCTCGGCTGTAAAGAGTTCTTTAAAGACTCTCTGAACGCAGATCGAGGCTCGCTTCAGACGATCCCTCAAACACAGGAAAACATCTCATCAGAATAAACAACAAACAATAAACAAACAAACAAATGTTATTGTTAACATTGTAAAACATAAATGAATGAAGCAGATGGCGCCCTCTGCTGGCTGGAAAAAAAAGGCGCATGATAAACTTTTTTGTCAAATCGAGTTAAGCGTTCCTAAAATGTAAAAATCTAAATTTAAATTAAGTGTGTCATGTAGTTGATTATGATGATTATTAGGGGCGGCACGGTGGTGCAGTGGTTAGCGCTGAAGGTTCCTGGTTTGAATCCCGGCCTGACAGGAGCCTCTCTGCGTGGAGTTTGCACGTTCTCCCCGTGCATGAGAGCAAGGAACGATTTTTTAATTATAGTGCGTTCTACTTCAAAACGTCTTCATGTGAACCTGAGTGGGGGGGGGGGGGGGGGGGTTGGAGGTGTGTCTCTGGAGGAGGGCGGAGTCTTCAGTATGGAGGAGGCGTGGCCTATCAGCAGTTTGTTTTGGTTTCATGCTGGAGCTCAAAGGCGACATCTACTGGATCAGAAAGTCGCACACTCTGAGCGCTGGTGGTGCAGTGGTTAGTGGAGCGCTCCCCATGTATGGACGCCATGGTCCTCAAAGCGGGCGGCCTGGGTTCAAATCCAGCCTGCGGCGCCTTTCTCTCTCTCCACATCCTTCCTTCAGCCGTCGTTTGAAACTGTTTCCTCTTTTGTTTGTCCTCCTGTTTTCTTCCAACATCTTTGTGTTTTCCTGGCTGTGCTCTGAGTTAGGGTGCTCAGAGAAAACACTTGATTTGGGGTCAGTTGTGTTTTTCGGGCGTGTTTTGTGTGACAGGTGATTTTTAAATAAAGTTTTGTTGAGTTGAATATTCATTTAGAGACAAACGTTTTTGTTCAGAGGCGTGTGTGTGTGTGTGTGTGTGTGTGTGTGTGTGTGTGTGCACCAGCTAAAGCAGATGTTGCGCTCCCATCAGATCAACTCAAACAGAACAGACACACACACACACACACACACACACACACACACACACACACACACACACACACACACACACACACACACACACACACACACACACACACACCACACACACACAACACACACAACACACACAACACACACACACACACACACACACACACACACACACACACACACACACACACTTTTCTCCCTCTATGGAAGCGATGAGTGATCAAAATTCTAAAGATTCCCCCGCCACCCGTCGTACTGCGCGTTCTGCCCGCTCGCCTCATAGACTGTAAATATTACGTTCTCCTGCCTGGGAGCTGGAGTCTGATGTCACTTTCCTGCGCCGTCCACTTCGCCGTTTCGTTTTCCAGTTGGTTTGAATTCTGATCACTTTTTAGCAAGTTTGAAAACGAAAAGCCGAAGACCTTTTAGTTTTCATTTGAATGATGTCATACAATATGCATACATAGAGAGTAAAGTATAATGCAAACTGGATGACTGAATATTCATTTTAAATATAGGTCAAATAATTCACCTATAATCTGAAAGTTAAAACGTGTTTCTGTATTTTCATTTTAAAACTAGATTTTTCATTTGGATTCTGATACACATGTAGCGGGGCATTTTTTGAAAATGATTGTGATCATTTTCTTCATTTTAATTTAGTCAAAGAATTTGCATTTTTTTAAGTTGAAAACTAAAATTCAAATTAGATAAATGAATCATCGTTTCATTTTTGAGTCAAATAACAAACTCATATTCTGGGTTAGGGTAGGCTAAAAGCTTTTCTGTTAACGCATTTGAATTTTCAAATTAGCTTTATCACTAATCACTTCCATACTCTCTCTCTCTCTCCCTCTCTCTCTCTTCTTGCTCTCCCTTTCCCTCTCTCTCTCCTCTCTCTCTCTTTCCTTGCTCTCCTTTCCCTCTCTCTCTCCCTCTCTCTCTCTCTCCTTGCTCTCCCTTTCCTCCCTCTCTCTCCCTCTCTGTCTCTCTCCTTGCTCTCCCTTTCCCTCCCTCTCTCTCTCCCTCTCTCTCTCTTCTTGCTCTCCCTTTCCCTCCCTCTCTCTCTCCCTCTCTCTCTCTTCTTGCTCTCCCTTTCCCTCCCTCTCTCTCTCTCTTCTTGCTCTCCCTTTCCCTCCCTCTCTCTCTCTCTTCTTGCTCTCCCTTTCCCTCCCTCTCTCTCTCCCTCTCTCTCCCCTGCAGAAATAGAGCTTTTTGTTACAGCAGGAACAACAGGAAGTGAAAACGAACAGCTGTAAGTCTGAGTGGAGACAAAGGTGCTGACAGGAAGTGACCAGAGGTGCTGACAGGAAGTGACCAGAAGCAGAGCACAGGTGCTGACAGGAAGTGACCAGAGACAGAGCACAGGTGCTGACAGGAAGTGACCAGAGACAGAGCACAGGTGCTGACAGGAAGTGACCAGAGGTGCTGACAGGAAGTGACCAGAGGTGCTGACAGGAAGTGACCAGAAGCAGAGCACAGGTGCTGACAGGAAGTGACCAGAGGTGCTGACAGGAAGTGACCAGAGACAGAGCACAGGTGCTTCTATCGTCCTGTATGAGGGCCCCTTACTCTTCCTCTGAAGGATTACACTCTCATCTCTATTTGATGTATAAAACAAAAGGAGCATCATCAGCGTCATGATTGACAGCTCTGTCGACCAATGAGGCTCCTGCGGATTGTCAGAGTACAGGAGTAGAGGAGGAACAGTGCTGACAGGTCTGACAGGATCCAGACACTGAACCCTAACCCTAACCCACCTGCCAGCACAGAGGTCAAAGGTCAGAGCTGATCTGTAGGAGGAGGAGATCGAATGAACAGAAAAGAGGCCAAAGAAGAGAGAAGGAGTCCGCCTCTATATATACACATTAGAGAAGAGCATCAGAGGAAGTAGAGCAGAAAGGTTTTCAGAGAAGAAGAAGAAGGAGGACGAAGGCGTCTGTCTGAAGATGTCGGAGACTCAGTGGATGAATGTGTTTAGTGACAGAGAGCTGACGAGAAGACATAAAGGAAATAAAGAACGCAGCTGTAACGGCTGTAAATCTGCTCGCTGTGAATCCACTGAAGCTCGCAGTCAGAGGCACTAAATCAAACCCCGAGCAGACCAGAGTAAACGAGCATCTATCAGCAGAGCTTCAGCGTCCCGTCGTGCATGTTAAGAGATCTACGCTGCACCTCCCTCTCCTGCCTGTGTTTCCTCCTCCACCGGCTGCTTTCATGTCTCTGTCATCTGTAATGAGATCAGCTTTACATCTGACCGTCCTGCAGACTTGGACCGACACTGAATAAAAAAGTTGAACTTTATCAGAAAAGAGCCCACGACCCACCTGAGGCTCGCTCGACTCAGATCGATGTGCAGCAACACATCAGGAGGAGACGAGCTGTCACCCTCACACTGAGTCCTGATCCATACGGGGACCATGTGTGCCTGCTGGGATTATTCCGCCTGACGCTGATCGACTTTGGGGTTTGATGGAGACGCAGAGAAAGGCCGAGACTCAAACACATCGGTGTCTCACATCCTGACGTTACAAATCCTACAGAGTGAGAGTACTGACTCCATCACCCAGGAGCCAAAGTGTTTGATCCATCGTTTTGTGTCATCATGTTCAGACTCTCTCACATTTAAACATTTGATCAGAACCTTTTAGTGAAGTGCACATTAACCCGAGGAAACTGAACGAGTGTCTGACTCGACACAATTCTACAATTCACTTAGCAGACTCTTTTCTCCAAAGCGACGTACATCAGAGAGTAAGAACAACACAAGCAAGGATCTAGAAAAAAGGGAACAATGTCAGTAAGAGCAAACGATCAGCTTTGAGTCTGATTGGACACACAGGTGCTGACAGGAAGTGACCAGAGGCAAAGCACAACATTGAGGGCAGTTCTTGAGAGCTCTAATCAGTATAGAAACCATCTTATAAGTCATCGTTATCAAACAAAACCATCGTCATTACCATCATCATCATCAATAATATGGAGACCATCATCATTAAGTTAGTAGGTATTCATGAAAGAACTGGGTCTTTAGCTTTTTCTTAAAGGTGCAGAGGGACTCTGCAGATCACATGGAGTATGGAAGTTCATTCCACCACCAGGGGGCGACAGAGGAGAAGAGTCTAGTCAGAGACTTAGGACCCTGTTCTGAGTGTAGTGGGGGGAAGGGAGTGTAGACCTGGATGAGAGAGTTAAAGTAAGGAGGAGACGTTTCTGTGTCTGTTTTGTAAGCGAGCAGCAGAGTTTTAAATCTGATGTGAGCAGTAACTGGGAGCCAGTGGAAGGAGATGAACAGAGGAGTGACATGTGCTCTTTTAGGAAGGTTGAAGACCAGTCGTGCTGCTGAGTTATGTATCATCTGCAAACACGTTCTTAAATGTGATGCGTCTGGGAGGAGCGTCTTCAGGAAGTCAAAGTGTCGATGGTTTGTTTTTTAATCCTGCAGAGATTCTTCTCTAAATCTCTCCCGAGCTTTTTAGTCCGACTCTAAATTCAAGACACGAGAGAGGGAGCCTTGAAGATGAAATCCCCCCGTGTTCCTCCAGTCCATCAATATACTCAGACAAGATGAGATTTTAGAAGCACACACACACACACACACACACACACACACACACACACACTGCAGCAAGTAGCTTGATAAATTAGCGTGTTCCCTCGCGTCACCGACCAATCAATAGCTCCAGAGAGTCAGGTAGCTCACGGCCACTCCACAACACTCCATGACAATCGATCTGCGGCCAAAACGTTGGTTATTCCTCCCGTTCCTCTGCTCCCCGCACAAATCCAAGAGATATTATTTTCATATCCATCCATCCCTCAGGGGAGGGAGGGGGGGAGGGGGGGTCTGCAGCCTCCTCGTCTGTAAATATCATCAGTTTGAAACTCCTGCAGGTGGACAGCCACTCGGGGGAGTCCTTCTTCTGCAGCAGAGACCGAGATGCATCAGTGAGAGTATACGGCCGGTTTTTTTTTCCAGGCACGGCGACTTCTACCGAGGGAGGTGGACAAACGTAGCGGGGCGTTTCTGTGATGACTTCCTGTAAGTTGTAGAGGTCGCTAGGTGATGACAGGGTGCCAGTCAGAGGAACGCTCAGACAAAACAATGCAATCCTGGGGCGCTGGCGGTGCAGTGGTTAGAGCGCACGCCCATGTATGGACACACAGTCCTCCAAGTGGGCGGCCCGGGTTTGAATCCAGCCTGTGGCTCATTTCCTGCATCTCTCTCTCTCTCTCTCTCTCTCTCTCTCTATCCACCTCCCTGTCTCTACATTAAAGGCACAAAAAGCCCAAGAATAAATCTTAAGTTATAATAATAATAATAATGTAATCCTGGACTTAAACCCAGCAGACCCCTACACAGGAGAAGACCGGGCCTCCACCACTTTTAGGCGGTAACCCATAAGAACTTGGGTTGGGAACCAGAGGTGTCACTGGTTCAAGTCCTTGTGCAGACCAAAGTATGGAAGTTGGTCTGGTTGCTAAAGAGAGGTGAACCCTTGAGCAAGGCACCCCGAACAGCCCCTGGTGCGGGTCCACAGGTCCGGGTTGTGCATGTGTGTGTGTGTGTGTGTGTGTGTGTGTGTGTGTGTGTGAGCAGCATGTCTCTCATTCCCTCCCACTGAATCAGAGGAAATGGCTGCTGAGTATGCTACCATGTCAGATGAAATATTCAACCTATAGTCAGAATACGTGATGATTCTGTGGATGAAAATGAGGAAATTTTTTATATTTGACATTTTTAAATTCTATTTTATATATTGTAATATCTTCTTATTCTGTATTATTTAAGTTGTTTCTAGTTCTGCTTTATTTCCTTGTTAATTGTTTAGCACCAATACACCAAGTCAGATTCCTTTATGTGTAAATGTAGTTGGCAATAAACTCAGATTCTGATTCTGATTCTGATTCTGATTCTGATTCTGATTAAATGTAGAAAGGACAGAAACACAACTTCCTGACGTCGTCTGAGCACAGCCGGCGCTGCAGCCCGCCTCCTCCCCTCCGAAGCTTTATGTCAGGACATTTATTCTGTATCAGAGCGGCTGCACTACATACCCCTCTGACGCCCATTTGAACATTAGTTCCCATTACGTTTCCCCATCCATCCTCCCCTCGCCGGCTGCAGCGTGATAGGGCGGCGTGGATTTACATCGCTCAGATATACGAGCCGTCGCTCGCCGCGGCAGATATACGAGCCGAGCCGTCAAAGCTTTATTAGCTGCTGGATTGATGACAGCTGAGAGGGAAATAAAAGAAAGAGACAGAGAGAGAGAGAGAAGAGGAAGTGACACGTACTTGTAACCCGGCGCCGTGTTGGCACAGCTCCCGCTCCGGAGCCAGACGCAGTACGGATCCCGAGACGCCAGGCAGGCTCTGCAGAGGGACGACAGAGCAGTTTGATGAATCTTAAACTATCTGCAGTAAAACACACATCAGAGCACGGGGTGCTTTAGGGGCGGGGCTAACTGTTTTCCCATGGCGACCTGTCAAACAGATTACAATGATCTGTTCAGTGTTTACAAGGCAGGGGTTGAAGAATGAAGGTCAAGGTCAAAGGTCAAAGGTCGCTCGTGGACTCTCTGTTTTGTTTGAAACTAAAGTCGAGACACTGAATCGTTTTCAGAGCTCGTGGTTTCAGAGTGTGTGACGGCGTCCTCTCGTCCGGTGAGTCCACGCCAGCTCTCAGAGGAAGTGTGTGTGTGTGTGTGTGTGTGTGTGTGTGTGTGTGTGTGTGATTTAAATATGTTAATGTGTAGTCACTATTTGTCAGGAGGTTTAAGCCCCGCCTCCTCTTCAACTCTCAACCGCCATCAACGGGCTTCAGAAACCAACGGGTGACTGCGTCCTCAGCACAGAACACTTTGTACTTAGAGGTCTTCTCTTCTGTTTGAAATGGAATGAAGCCCTGAATATAGATCTAAATTCAATAGAAGATGAGATAAAGGTCGTACTTTTTACAGGCGCCGTGTCGGGGGCAGCGGCTGAGCGGCACTCTGATGACGCAGCTCGAGAACGCCACAAACAAAGCATGATGGTCTTTATCCAGCTCCAGTCCCAGAACTGTCCTGTCCTCCTGACCCTGAACGTTACACCTGCACACACACGCACACGCACACGCACACGCACACGCACACGCACACGCACACGCACACGCACACGCACACGCACACGCACACGCACACGCACACGCACACGCACACGCACACGCACACACACACACACACACACACACACACACACACACACAGATTAAAGCGACAGTAACGATGACATCAGATGATTTAGCATCAGCAGTGATTCTACAAACTTTGACGGGTTGTAGACGTCGATGTCCTCCAGCAGTTTGGACCCGAAGCTGTCGTTGGGATGCGTGCTCGCCAAAACCTTCAGGACTCTGCCGTCGTCCGATCCGAGGAACATCACGGTCCGGTCTTTGTTTGGACCCGCCGAGACGTCCACCACGATCTGAGTCAGCTTGGACCTGTGAGTGAGAAACAAAGACGTGATGGAGGAGACACTTTACGCTGTCGGGGGGTTAAACTGTCCCACGAGGAACAGATTTGACCGGGACCGGGACCGGGTTTAGAAAAGTCCCTGTCCTGGTTTGAATTGATTAGTCTGTATCACATACAAAGCCACGTTTCTAACGAGAGAACACAAAGGTCAGGTTGAGACAGGAAGTAGAATTGTTACAATCTACTTCAGTGACGACCAGCTTAGAGAGGCTGCTCACACACACACACACACACACACACACTGTGTCTTGACTCTCACAAAGTTAGCCATGCTATGCTAACAGTAGATCCGCATGCATTGGTCCGCCCTCTCTAAACCCTCTTTAGGGGTCACGCCCCCCAGTTTGGGAACCACTGCCTCAAAGTCTTCATCTTGTTTCAGTGCTGACGCCCTCTGGTCCTGGTCATGACCCGGTCTAAGCTAAGGTGGTCTTGACACTGGTTCTGTTGGTTCATAAAGGGGCATGCTGGGAACTGTAGTAGAGATCTGAAGAGCTGAGTGTGACTGATCTCTAACCAGGGTCAGCTGGGTCTGGGTCTGGGTCTGGGTCTGGGTCTGGGTCTGGGTCTGGGTCTGCAGGGCGGAGCCTCATTCTAACTCACACTGAAGACTCTCATTAGTCGTTAAACTCCTTCAGGAAGTCGACTGAAACCTGCACACGCAGATTATAAAAGGTCGGAGATTTCCAGAGACAGCGCTTCCTGTGAGCAGTCGACTAATCAAAGCCGATCCCGATGACTATCCCCTCCCCCGCCTCAGGTCGGGGGCGGTGCATTCACTGCCTCTCAGAGCTGCTGTAACTGTCAAACTCGTCTCTCCAGGGTACGGGCGACATTTCCCTCTCTTTCTCAGGATTCAAACCCTGACCCGTCGGAGGACATTCAGCTCAGACTCTCATCAGTCAGACTAATGTTCACATTTAGATGCAAAAGAAGCGATCGAGGATTCAAGTCACAGAGGCGGCGCCCGCTCGTGGCGATGACAGATCAGCGGCTCTGACATTTGACGAGCGAGATCATTTTAGTTTCATCTTGTAAATCATGTAGCGGAGGCGTCTGTTAATGTCTGCTAACACTGAATGTAGATGTAATGATCCGTCAGAACGAGCAGAGCAGAGAGGAAGAAAGATTCTCCTCGGAAACAAACGCATCTTATCATCCGACAAGAACCGGAATAACAAGAGGAAAACAAAAACAAACAAACAACACCAAAAACCGTCACCATGTGTACAACCTCTCCCACCAGTTTTCTTTGACATCATTGTGTTACTTTACTGTCCTCCATGTTTTTCTGTCCTGTTTGCTCATTTATTTATTTTGTCTCTCTTTCTAATTCATTCATTTTATTTACTGACCCTTTTGTTTATTTGTTTGTTTGTTTTTGTCTAAATCTGCTTGTAAAACTGGATCTTACCACAGTTCCCCTCTTGTTTCTATCTCTTATTGTGTCAGTGTGTGTGTGCACGTTTTGGTGAATAAAAGTAAAAAAATTAAAAATTAAATTAAATAACTAAATAAAGTGGTGCATCACTTCACACTGTTTCCTGAAAACGATCAGATATGTGTAACAAACTGGGAAGAAAGAGACACTTGATGAGCTGGGATCTGAGGATGGTATCTACAGGGGTCAGTGTGTGTGTGTGTGTGTGTGTGTGTGTGTGTGTGTGTGTGTGTGTGTGTGTGTGTGTGTGTTACCTGCTGGACGTCCTGGTGAAGACAGGCCGGTCGTTGACAGAAGGAACCGCTTCGTCCATCAGAGGATACGACTTGATAAACGTCAGAGTCTCGTCTGGAAACTGAACGGACGACTTGTACTCAGCAGCCGGGCCGTCGCCTGCACACGATCCAGGTCTGAAGGTGAAAAACCAGAACTTTAGAAGCGATCCTGGTCCGGACTCTTGAGCACCCTGAGAAGAGTCCTGGTGGTCTCACCTGGGTCTGGGAACTTGCTCGTCGGGTACAGGAGTCCAGGACGAGTCGCTGGTCCGCTGCTCCTTGAACTTCCCGTTGAAGACTTTCTCGATGTCGTCCATGTAGAACGCACAGACTGCAGAGCCGGGGATGCTACACACACACACACACACACACACACACACACAGACACACACACACACACACACACACACAGACACACACACACACAGACACAGACACACACACACACACACACACAGACACACACACACACACACACACACACACACACACACAGAGACAGAGACACACACACACACACACACACACACACACACACACACACACACACACACACACACACACACACACACAGACACAGACACACACACACACACACACACACACACACACACACACAGAGACAGAGACACACACACACACACACACACACACACACACACACAGAGACACACACACACACACAGAGACAGAGACACACACACACACACACACACACACACACACACACACAGAGACAGAGACAGAACAGAGACAGAGACAGAGAGACACACACACACACCACACACACACACACACACACACACACACACACACACACACACACACACACACACACACACACACACACACACACACACACACACACACACACACACACAGAGACAGAGACACACACACACACACACACACACACACACACACACACACACACACACAGAGACACACACACACACACAGAGACAGAGACACACACACACACACACACACACACACACACACACACACACACACACACACACACACACACACACACACACACACACACACACACACACACACACACACACACACACACACACACACATTGAATTCAAATATCTACAAAGTCTCTCATTTGAGAAGCGCCCGGCTCTGATGGATGGCTCCCTCTGCTCCACGCCGTCCACCCTCGCCACACTCTCATTATGGCGAGCTATAATCAGCATCATCAGTCCTTCTGACAGATTTATGTCCTCCGTCTTTAAGGCGCATCCTGTCTCATTGTCAAAGTTATCATTTTCTGAACTTTCTGCACAGTAAAACATGGTTTGGGTTCCTGAATTATGATCTCACTGTAATTGTTGGGTGTAAATGTTGGCGCCCCCTTTGCTTCTCTCGTCCTGTACATGAATAATAATAACTGCCATCACACTCAGTGTCTTAAACGCCTTTCCAGACAAGCCGAGGAAATCGAACTGTTTGGACTAAGATCACAAATAAGGTCTTTTTTGAAAGGTTTACGATTTGTTGAAACTCCCCCTACAGTGTTTTTAAAGTGCATTCTACTGTTGAAATGAGGCAGGCGTTCCTCACACATAGATTGATGCAGCAATCGATTTGTGGATGCAGCAGGACAAATTTTGATGGAATATTATGACCTGAAGAGAACAGTCGAGCTTCAGACGGTTAGAAAAATGAACCAGAAAGACCTCTGTGGTTGTTTGTCTGTGGTCTGACAGATGCGTAGATTGTGGCTGCTGTGGTGGTTGAATCTTGAAATGGTGAACATTATCTGAACCACGGGAATCGTAACGCTGGAGCTCTGAAGGCAAACCGTCCACACAGTGAGGTGTTTACCTGTTGGCCTGCGTGGTGAAGACCCCGACCACAGCCGGCCTCTGGTTGATCTGCAGCACGTTGGTGAGGGACTGGAGAACGTCGAAGTAGAAAAACGAGTCCCCGGGAACCGAACAGTTCAGACGAGCCTGAAACGAAAACAAAGAACCAATGAGAGACGGCCAATAACGGAGGTGTGTTGTTTTTAAACTAGATTCAGAGTTGAGTCGTGTGGAGCGCGAAGTTACTTTGAGGAAAGACGTCCAGTATCTCTCCAGAACTCTTGGTGATCCTCCGTTATCATTCTTGCAAACCCGGGCGACCCGAGAGAACACCACCTGGAGAGAGAGGGAGCATAGCCTCGAGCTTAGCATTTGTTTCCCAATTAAAGAGGATGTAGTCCTCGATGCTACGAGCCAGAGGTTTGACTCTGATCCTTAGCTCCTCCCCCCACC